CTCTCGATCCTTTCTTCCCCCAGCCTGTACTGATACCGGGGGTTACCCCGACCCAGGTGCATGACCCTGCACTTGGCCTTGTTGAACCTCATGAAGTTCACACAGGCCCACCTCTCCAGCCTGTCCAGGTCTCTCTGGATGACATCCCGTCCTTCTGGTGTGTCAACCGCACCACTCAGCTTGGTGTCATCTGCAAACTTGCTGAGGGTGCACTCGATCTTGCTGTCTAAGTCATTGATGAAAACATTAAACAGCACCGGTCCCAGTACGGACCCCTGAGGGACACCACTCGTCACTGGATCATCACTTAGGCCATGCAAAATAATAGCTCCTGTCTTGAGGGGTCAACATTACATGGGCTTCTTAAACACATCCCTGCCAGAAGAAAAGCAGCCCTTGCTTCTGCCGGACCCATCACGCCACCAGGTACCAAATGCTCAGGAGATGAGTCCTGTGAATGGAGATCGTGAATGGTGGAAGAGTCCCAGAACAGCCTGGCTGTCCCTCCTTCTTAAAAAGAGAAAAACAGAGGCCAGCTGGGGAAGACAGGCTTTGGACAATAACCACTGCTAACAGATTTACTGAATTAGCTGTATTCATGCCAATCAGAACAGGTCAGGCTCAGAGAAAGGTTAGTGCAGGTATCTGCAACACGTATTTTACTTCCTCTACCTGATGGAGCAGAGAGGTTAATAGATACTGTGGCTCCAGTATAACCACGGACTCCAGCGAACTGCAGAGCTCTGCCATGATGCTAAGTACAAACACTTTACCCTAGCGCACACTGTGCTCCTTAGTTCAGCCAAGAAGTGTATAAACCAAAATTAAATATGAATAAAACAAACCAAGCATGACTTTGAAGGTACTAATGGCTTCTCACGTCAAACCACGGATGGAGGATGCAACAGCTGAGACATATTTGGATCGCTACTACACTCAAATGCTTGCTTAGATTTATAATAATATAATCTGCTAATAAAAAGGGATATATAGAGAAGCCAAAATACCATAATAGTCTATTTGGGGCTTTGGCAATGCAATACCCATAAAAAACCTGCCCTCAGGACTTACTATAGAATCTATTACCCATTTCATTCTCAGCTTTCCAAATGGGGGGAAAAGTTTATTGTGATGAACTAGGTTCATATTATGGCCTTCTGTTTCCTCAGACTGGTAATTTTCTCAGTGCGTATCCCACATATTTCTGCTTTTGGGGAATAACATTTATCTGTATTTTTACACAGTGTTCATATAAACAGTTACAAGCTGTGACAAAATATAAAGTGAGACTTAGTGCATTACTATATTTTTGTTCTCCACTAATTTCAGTATGAAGTAAGGATAATTTTAGGAAAACTGCAGCATGGGAAAAAAAAATACCATGAGCTTTTTTTTTTTAATCAGATTTGTTCAGACCTGGAATTACAGCCTGCAGAAAATGATGAAGGGGATAATGGCTGAGGGGAATCATTAAAACCTTTCCCTAAATGCCAATAATTTGCTCAAAACACAGTTAACACACTGATACGGGGTTAGGAGCTCAAGCCGCCTGCTGAAGCATCACAGCTTCACTTCTCTGGCGATAGACCATTCCTGCCTTGTTTCCCCACAGAAAACACCTTTAGAGCCAGCAACGTGAAAACATCTCTCTTGCCATACATGGGAAGACGTGCTGTCTGTCGTAAAAGTTACTAAAGCAACAGCTCCTGCAGTTTCCAGACCAACATCTGGGACTTGCATCCTAAAGGAGACCCGCAGCCCCCGGCAGCAGCCAGCCATTTCTTCAGTTTGTGGGGAAAGCCCTCCGATGCTGTAAGTTCTCAAAGCTTCATCAAATTAAATGGGCCTGGACTGATTTACACTTGCTGAGGATCCACCCTTCGTCTCACTTGCTGCAGCAGTGGAAAAAGATTTGTCTAATGCTGGCAGAGAAACTTCAGTCACATCTGCCATATGGTTTTTTGCCCAAGAGATTACTTTGAGTGAACCTATAAAGTGCTGGGGAGGAAACGCTCACAGCCACAGAAAAATGAAGGATATTATTGTGGAGAAACTTTTCCCGTTTTACCAATGAAATCACCCAGCTTCCAAGTCATTAATTGAGGCTCTTGTCGAGAATAATATTACAACTTGTTCTGTTCACATATATCTAGGGGAGCAGAAACATGGGGGACTTCGGTTTTCAACCACCACTAAAAAATGTAATTGCCCCTGCTGGACCTTACACAGATGCACATAAGCGCTCTGACAGTTTTTATTGCTGAATATTATATGTCCAAGTGACATGAACTCTTTGAGTAGTACCATTAGGTTTCAATATGGAGTATGAGATCATTCCCAAGTTGTAGATACGCAACAGGAAAATAATATATTACAGTCAGTCAATTAAATGCTCACATCCTGCAACTCTTCACAAGGAGACCTTGCTCACACCACTATTCCCATGAGGGGAAGTTTACTTGAACACAGGCCAGTCAAACCAGTCCTGATTTGTAGAATCAAACCCAAAAGCACTAAAAAAAAAAAAAGAAAAATTCAATGACCGTGTTTACCCTAAACTAGGTCACTGCGCTGCTTCTAACAATAGAATTTCCTATGTAAATTGATTCCTACTAATATCCTACGACAGTGCCTCCTGTCCTCTTTTACTGCATTAGGCAGTTGCCAGCCTTAGCTGGATCTTCTCCATCAAGCCTAATCCACTTCTTTTCAATTTCAACCTGTAGTTAGAAAAAAAAAAAACAAAAAACAGGTAGAATTAGCAAATAATTGGGCACTGAAAGTGTGAACTGCAGCAACATGAGTAAAAGCTTTGACACAGAATCAAAACATTTCCAGAGCCCACAGATTTCAAAACCACTACTCCCAAAAATAGCTCAACTGAGGAAAAACAGCACTGCATTTGCACCTCTCATCTTTGATCAGACAAGGAATTACTTTTTAATGACTCTTTTTTTTCAAAGTCATTATCACAAGTGCATGCAAGGTACGTTTAGAATACAAAGCACATTCGCCCTGCAAATACTGTATGGAAGAGTGGGGGCGGAGGGGGGAAGGGGAGAAGAAGAGGAGGAAAACACTGAAAACATAGCCCCGAAAATACCTGGCAATTGTAAAAGGCTTTCTGAACCACGTGTTTCTGGGGCTGCACATCGCTCTCTATGCCCAGTGACTTGACTTCTGTCCCTGAGGCGCAGGTATCATGAACGACAAACTGGACAGTAGCAAATGGATACCAGTCAGATGGGATTTCCTGGTCTGATCCCAGTTCCAGTTTGTAAGACAGGCTGTGTGGATGATCTGAACCTTGGAAAAGAAAAAAAAAAAAAACAAACCACATCAGTTAATTATCTTTTCTCTGTTTACAGTGCAAGGTGAATCTGCTAGCAAGAGAGCACAGCTCTATCTTTTATTAATGCATAGCTGTTGTTATGTTACAAGATTATTCTATGGATAATCTTTTGCTACTTGGGCATAAGGTGGCCCCTTACTCATTTTTTCTCTGCTTCAGCACACTTTTCACAATCGTTTCAGTTTTACAAATTGATTTGCACAAGATTTACCAGCTCCTCCCAGCTTCTGATTAGGAGAAGAGTATTACAAACTTAGGGATAGGTTGCTAAAATTCAGACTATTAGGGAAGAATCTCAGTTTTCACTTCAAAATACATTTCTTACTCTCATAGAAAAGTAAAAAACAGCTTAGCCAAGGTAGAGATACCTCCCTGTGTCCAACAACCACCCTTTCCAGAGCTCTTTGCTGTACGAATTTTACTAGAGTGTTTATTTCAAGCACTACAGCTATCTTGTGTAACATCATTTATTACAGTATGTCTATGGCAGGAAGATAAAGGTGTAGCTCAGAGCGCTGCTCAAACAAGATATATCCCAGCTGCCAGCATAAGGGCTACCTAGACTCCCTTTCTAGCTTGGTTTATTATGGGAAAAGAACATACTCCGTTTCTTCCAAATTATTACTAAAGTAACTGTCATGTTATAAAGCAGAGTCCTGAAAGACTGCCCTGCAGCATATCCTAAATTACTTTAATCCAGCCTTAGATCCTAGGAATCGCTTGCTTTAGCATTTTTTTTAAATGTGGCAATGGTAAGGGAAAGCCTTCCTCCTCCCCCTGGCAGACAGGAACACGGGGGTAGAAGGCCAGCTTTCCAAAGAAACTGCGGTCAGCAGGCTCACTATGTGCACGAAAGCAGTACAATATAATATAATTAAAAGAATCATTTATGTCACAGCTGCCTCTCCAAATTCTTCAAGGCAAAAAGCAGTAATTCTCTGTTTCCCCTCCTCTCCAGGATTTTAAGCATCAGCATAGACAACGAACCACCATTTGGCTGCAGGCAAGAAACAAGCAGAGGAAGGACTGGCTGTATTTTGTCAAGGCAAGCCTGGCAGCGTATATTTGGTTTTCATCCATTATACTGCATAGCATCTCAAAGTTCAGGCAAAAATGTCCCATTCTTTATGCACTCACTTTCTGCGGTGGCAGGAATCAATTTTGTATTGGAATGAAGGAAATACTGAAGATGGAGTTAACACAGACTGAGTTTTACCCATCCCATGGGAAAAATTGCTGTAACGCTCCACATCCACAGGCTCACAGGCATTTTGTAAGGCAGAAATAAATTTAAAATCTACATCTCCATTGCTCCTGGGAGCCTTGGGCTGGGTACGTCCTCTGGACTGTGCTTGCAGGGCTTCCCTGCGACCTGCCTCACAGCCTGCCCAAGCCAGGTCTGATTTTAGGAGATTTGAGCAGTTTGATGGGCAGAGTTCTGTCAAACACACATGTCTCTGGCTTCACTGGAACAAAGTCTAATTCAATAAACCATCCTCCAAGTTTCATTCCAAGTCCAGCATAAAGTCAACGGGTCTCCAAAAATCAAGGCTTAAAGAACATGAAATTCATGCTCATCTTAATCATACTCAGTAAAACAGTTCACATTTTGTTTTCCTTTTGACTAATTATATAATTGGCATAATTTATAATTCCCTCCCTCTTCCTTGCTGTTACACTGAACAGCACAGTTAAAACTTCGCTGCCTGGAAGGAAAAGTGAGGGAAGGGGAGAAAGGAATAGGAAATGCCTTTTGGATTATCAGCCCCTAGGTCTCCAACTCTTTTTTCTCCTCCCCCCTTCTTTTTTCCATGTTTAATAACAACAAAAACAACCAGTAGCTTAAAAAGCTGTTTGCTAACTGCAAGCGTTCCTCTCGCTGTTCAGTTGACCCCAACAGCATGCACACAGAAACACAGCAGCATTTGCAGCCACCGCTTTGGGCAAGGGGCACGCCACCGGGCCAGCGCAGTCCTGCACCATCTGGACTCTCTGCGTAGCTGAGTTACCAGCATCCCCTGCAAGCTTGCTTCCAGCAGTACATCGCATTCCATCCCTATCCTAAATGCTGCTTTTTTAACGTAACTGCTTGTAACGTTCAAAAAAAACCTGAACTGGATTTCAGAAAATAATGCTATGTACGCACCAGCTATGTCCTGCACCATGGAAGAGCATCAGCCACTGGCCATGAAGTCTCCCAGGTGTCTTTAAAGAAACGTGCATCACAATGGAGAGCCAGCAACCATTCCCCAAATGGGACTAGCTGCTTCTTTCTACAAAAGCATGGCCTCCAATACATGCTCATAAGGAACTGCTTACAGAAATCATAGGAAGAGGTAATACAACTTGCACTTATAAATGCAAGAGCAGATCCATAAAAGGGACTCAGTAGGAATCACTGCAACAAAAAATGTGTAGGTCCTGAGTTTTGGGAATGAAGCTCTCCTAAATATGTCTAGCACAATAGCACCTTTAAGGTGAGTGGGGATAAGTAGGTGCCCAGCAATGGCCATCACCAAAGCCAGAAGAGGAGGAAGGACACCTAAGCGAGCAGGACAGGCTGGAGAGATCAGATGGAAAAAACTCACCTCTTCCTTGTACTTTGCAACCTACCTGCCGCACCAGTCAAGGCACAACGCTTTACAACCCATACACAGTTAAAAAAATTACAACCACCACCCAAACCATAGCCCGTGACCAAAAGCAGCAGTACCATCACCTCCTTTACACGTAGAAGCCTACCGCTTAGTTCACTTGCACATGGATCGGGCTCAGAGTCATCCACACAGCTCTATGCAAGGCTGGTATGGGGGTGGAGTAGGAGGTACTGACTGTGATTTGTGCTAAATCAGTGCTACCGGCGTGTGCGAGACATTACTCACACCTCGGAGCACACTATGGGACAGGGCCCTTCCAGGCACTAAAGCACACAGAAACCCTGCTTGCAAGCTCGTAAAGGTCTTAGGTGAAGGAGTGCAATGCCAGGGGCATGCTGCACATGGCTAGAGTCTCAGGACAATAATACAATACACACAGACAGGTAAAACTGTAACATTACGGACTTTATTGCTGAAATAGAGGTGGGAACAAAGGCAGAAACAAATATTACAACCACCTGCCAGCTCCTTGAGAAGGAAGCTGGAGGAGGACTAAGCAAGTGTGAGGAGGAGATGGTGCTTCGTCATGCTAGTACACAGTGACAGGCAGAGCTGTACACGTCTGTGATGTGGACCTTGTCCGGGATCTGCTGCTGGTCATCTCTTGCTGTGTCCAAGCCCATTTCTCCTGCACTAACACTCTCTTGGTCCACGGTTCCTCTTCCAGACTGCCTGGGCACGGTGGAATGAGGTCCCTGTTGGGGTGGCCCTCTCCATCCTTGAATCTGCCATCATCCCAGCAACAGCTGTGGTGACAGCAACACCAGCGGTGAAGGAGACCAGAAGCAGCACCCCATTCCACAGTCAAACTGTGAGACGTCATCCCATCTGTGGTACCACAACCCACCCAAGTTGTGCTCTTCTTGGCTCCCAGGACCTGCTCCACTCTCCAGCGGTGGTGCTGGGATGCAGCTTGGCAACATGCTTACTTGACTTGGTCTTTGTGCCGTTCGCTGGGCGGGGATGCGCAAACTGCACCATGTCAGTCACAAGTGAAGGGTCCTTCATAGCAGCAGTTGCAACACTAAGATAGTACGTGATGCCCTGGCCAGGAAAGCAGCGTGCTCTGCCTAGTAGGAAATAAAGCAGTGGTAGTAGGAAAAGGGGGTAATCTAAGGGCTTTTGGAGATCAAATTCAGCATCTTCCTCTTGTGGGAGGGAGGCCTACGGAGAAACAAGTAGCAGTGGGAATTGTCTGGAAAATGATTTTTGTCTTCTGAGAAAGAGAATCCAGAAATAACCACTATTTGGAGTTTTCCTGGACAGGTACGGTAAACATCAGATGTCTGCTTGAGCCCAGGCATAAATGGCCATTCCTCTTGGCCTGCTGCTAAAGGGTCCTGTGTTAGACATGGCACACTTATATGGTTCGGTACCATATAGCACTTAAAAAAAAATCTCTGGGCTTATATTCCAGCTAACCCACACCCATGAGGTGGTTTCAGTGCTGACATCCGATGAGTTCTCGCGTCCTTTCTTTCCCCTAGGTGGTAACCTGCAAAGGCAGAAATGACAGTTTGGGGATCTGGGTAAGGCTACTGCCCTGGGTCCTCTGGAGCAGCCTCCACTGGACCCTTTTGCCTACTCCCAAAACCCAGGGTTCCCCCCAGCCCACCCGTCTCCCGTACCAACATCAATGTCAGAAGGAAGTACTCACCACTTCACTTGCGGAAAAGTTCCTCTGGCCACTGCTGGGCTGCAGTAGGAACATGGAGCAACTTCTTCCCATCGGCTGTCAAACAAAGCGATCAACCAAAACTTCAGAAGACGGTGAGCACTGCATTAGTTTTCACCTAAAACTGGCCAGTCCTTGTCATCTCTGCTCCATGAAACTATTGTTTCCCAGGCCTGGTATTACACTGGAGTTAGAAGAAGAAAGAGAGGCCTTTTGCACAAAAACCTGTAATGCTGAATAAGCAAGATGTCAGCCAGAAAAGAGTAAAGGTAGTGGTGTGGAAAGACAAGTCAGATGAAGCAGGCATGGTGTAAGTCTGTTGTTGCCCAGTGGAAGCTAAGATGACATATTCAGACGCGAGCCCGGCTATCCAAAATGTGGCCCATCGGGCATCATGGAGACATGACCATCTGGCCTGACGGAATCTAAACACTCCTGAAAGATAATTTGGGGAGATAACTGAGCTTTTACTAGCTAACATAGGAGACAGAAGGCCTGGTGTTTAGGTGTCTAGGCAACTTGTTGAGACTTTTGTGAATTCAGAGACTCATGTCCTTCCTGTCTTACATCTGAAAATTTGTCTCATTTCCTAAAAATGTTCCAAATTCTTGCTCTCTTTCTCTGAAGAATAACAACAAAAAAGCCAAAACAAACAAACAAACCAGCAAAACCATGCAACTAGATTCAAACCATCATTTAGCATTCATACAGCACTTCAAAAGAATAACAACAAAAAAGCCAAAACAAACAAACCAGCAAAACTATGCACCTAGATTCAAACCATCATTTAGCATTCATATAGCACTTCACAAACAATTAATAATCTAACTTTGCTGCATTTACTCACACTATTTATCCCTTATTAACCTGTATGAGCAACATTGATCTGAGAAGTGCTCATGAAGCCAAGCAATTTAGGCCAAAAAAATGGGCTGCTTATTTTAGTTAAGCAGTAATTCTATTTTTGCCAAAATAGGTCCAGTTCTAAAAGTCTTGTTTTGAACATAAAAACATCAACAATTACTAAGAACGGATTTACATTAGGATTGTTAGAAGTTAACATCTCGGGCAGCTATGTCTAAATGGGTGCATTTATCCAACCTTCTGGGAGATTGGAAATAAGGGAGTGGGAAGGTACCACTGCCAAGGAGCAGTTTGCAACAGTGATGGTGCCAGGAGGAGATGGCTGGGCAGGGATGGAGCCCACCTAACAAAGTCATGGCTTGGAGTTTCCACCTTGGCAGTTTAGAAAACAAAAAAGTGGCAGCTGAAGGTTGCTGGGAGCCACATCACCTCCCACGCTTGAGTCCATGCTCAGATGCCAGCAGCCACAGGCTCCCCTGGCTCCATTTCTCTGCGTTCCTTAATCACTGCTTCCTCAGTGTGGCCCCGTGATGTAGAAGAGAAGGAGAAATAATCAGCTGAAGAACTGTTGCTTTACACAACGGCTCAAGGATGGAGGTGTCCTAGCAGGAAACACCACAGAGCACAAACTTACACAGCAAGAGATGAAAACACAGCACTTCAAAGTCCAGTCTCCTCCCAGCTCCCTGGGCAACACAGGTGCATACAGCTTCACAAGTGCAAAGCCCAGTTCCAGTACGGTGCTGAAAGCATAAAAATGTTCTATGTTTCCTTATACAATGCCCCGATTTCACAAATGTAGACTCAATTTGCAGAAATGTCATTGGATCAACCCTTCAAAGTCTACAGCTTTTTAATATTTTTTTTTTTTTAAATAGCGCTAGCTTGGGCTCCAAACTCTCCATTTATACAACTGAATAAGCATAGGCAGCTTTTAAAAATCTGGGGTATCTTGCAGCTCACACTGGCTTCACTTGGCCAGCACTCTTCCAAGGAAGCACTTTAGTAGAATCCAGTGGATACTAACATATTTCAATGTCTATAAAGGGAGTCACAATAAAACTGTAGGCAACCTTTCCTTTCACCTTTCTTTTTTTTAAAGAAGGCTTGGACAAAGGCTTTTGGAAAGCAAAAGCATATTTTTCTCCCTGCAATAAATGTATTATGAAAGTTTACATATTTCTATTAGTTTGACTGCCTCCAGATTTTTGGCATGGCTTGGGACAACTCTATTTTTAAACTCTTAACTGCGTACAGAAAACTTTGATAGAGAGGTTTAAAATTTGACCAGGCAGTATTACTACCAAAATGTTTTTTCAAACACAAGAACATTTCAAGAATACAAATGATTTTGCAGATCTCAGCCAGAGGAATTATTCAAATGTCAAAAGTTTAAGCTACTGGTAGAAAATAATGTAAAGCTGTAGAATGCCACAAAAAACAGTTCTTACTTTCAAATAATATAAAACTGAAGTTAATTGTTCACATCAAATCTTAATGTGAATGAACTGCAGGGAATTAAAGACTTTGGAAGATGTAAAACCTTCTTTAAAATTGCCTGACTAAATTGCTGATTTGATTTTGCAGGAGCAAACCTACATCAAATAGCAAAGAATACTCACAGCTACCCCAACAGTCAGCCCCATTAGCCTAGGGAAAACACATGGGCCACAGCAGCACCGTGCAAATCCTTGAAGCCTGGAGTGCAAGACACCCTTACCTACAGATTTTGAAGACCTGAAGAATCTTCTTCTGTGCACTGGTTCTCCTACATCTCTCCATGAACTCCTCTGCCCTCCCTCCCCATTTTCCAGTGTCCCCAACTCCTCCCTTACTGCCTCCCGTCTCTCTGTCATTCCTCTCCCCCACCATTAATTCTGGCCTGGCTCCCTGCC